GTGATAAGTTAATGTCCAGGAGCCGCTGCTCGAAGTTTTCAGAAAAGAAAAATAGGAAAATCAGCATAAAAAAGTAAGCAGAGACAAGAGCAAGCAGAAAAGCGTCTACACTGTAAGAAAGCAGGAAGCACACTCCCTCTCTCTCAAAAGGCGGAGACTAGTGTTGAAACTAGTGGAGAAACGATCAAGATGCAACCTTGTCCCTCTGATTAGACAGCATGTTAAGTCAGGAAGTAGCATGAGTGGAGGGCATACAGGAGAGTGCTGAGTAACATGGGGTACAACCACTACACCATAAACCACAGCAGGTGGTTTGTGAACCCCCAGACGGCAGTCATATCCAAAGAGCTTGGTCGACCGTCAAAGGACATGTCCGTAGACTGAGAGGAAACCGTACAGAGAGTTTGTTGGAGGAACACCTCAAGGTTCTTGAATGGTCATCTTGGCTTGGCTCTGCTCACCCTGATGGACTGCTTGGACGCTTGTTCAAGGATATACACAAAGCCTTTCCAGTCTGAGTACCATTATGTCTTACCAAGTCTTTCATTTATGTCTGAGAAAAGCTTTTATGTTTAAATATGTGTATCAGTCATACTAAACAGTCATTACTTTGAGTCCTAATTTTCTTCATGTGTGAAGAAAATGTTTTTGCTTGGTTCTGTTGCATCTTACTTTGCATTTCATGTGAAAAATGTGTATTTAGGTCAGCGTGAATGTATAAATCATTCATAAATGGACATGTGTATTAAACTTAAAAACAACACACCCTTTCAGTAGTTATACATGTTAGTGACTCATCAATAGATGGTGATGTGTTTCACACTATACAGTAAGACTCCCTTTTACCAATTATAAAGTAACTCATTAATAAACGGTGATTTGTTTCACACTATACAATAAGGCTCCCTTTTACCAATTATAAAGTAACTCATTAATAAATGGTGATTTGTTTCACACTTTACAATAAGGCTCCCTTTTACCAATTATAAAGTAACTCATTAATAAATGGGAATGTGTTTTACACTTTACAATAAGGCTCCCTTTTGGCAGTTATAAATGTTAGTAACTCATTAATAAATGGTCATAAGAGATGCCAAGAAACATCAAGATGGAATCAACTCAGTGAACAACAGATACCAAGGATGCTGGCTGATGAAGAAGACAAGTTAAGCTAGGTAGCCAATATAAGGCTTAGCAGTACAGATAAATGTGGGCTCACTATTTGGCAAGCAACCGGTCACAGTTGCCCTGTTTATCTCATGTCTTATAAAAGCTTATTAATGACTTATAAAGTGTTCACAACCTAATTAATAAATTAATTACAAACTATTCGTAAACCCTTTTATAAGGGTAGTCTTATTGTAAAGTGGTACCAATATTTTATATAGATATTTATAATGCCTTATAACCATACTAAAACACTTTATAAAGCATTTGTTCAATGACCTCCAAGGTTGAGTCTGATTATATTTCATAATTGTCACAGATTTTTGTGCAAGGATCATAATATATTTGCTGTAATATGTAATAATATTTTGTAATGCATTATAATTAGATTTGAGAAATGTGATGTTTTGTGTGTTGTGGCTGTTGCATAGATTTAATGATAGTTTTTAACTTTCTTAACCCTCCTATTGTCTTCGTTTTCCCCCCCTTACTTTGGTGTTCGCGGTCAAATTTGACCGGTCCTGTTTTAACTGCTATTACATTAACACAAAAACCATTAATCATCACCAAATTTCATTTAACACCCTTTCAAACTGTACATATTGTATCAGACTACTGGTATACATGAAAGACTGCAGTAAATATACAAAGAATAGACACTGAACATGTATTGCGTGTGCCAGGTGTGATTCACATGGGGGATGGGCACATAAGAGCGGGACATGTGTCAAATTGTTCTGTGTGTGTGTGTGTGTGTGTGTGTGTGTGTGTGTGTGTGTGTGCGTGTGTGTGTGTGTGTGTGTGTGTGTGTGTGTGTGTGTGTGTGTGTGTGTGTGTGTGTGTGAGTGCCAGGTGTGATTCACATGGGGGGATTGGGCACATAAGGGGGACACACACATCTAGAGTATGTGTGTGTGTGTGTTTGTGTGTGTGTGTGTGTGTGTGGTGTGTGTGTGTGTGTGTGTGTGTGTGTGTGTGTGTGTGTGTGTGTGTGTGTGTGTGTGTGGGTGTGGGTGTTTGTGTGTGTGTTTTATCTGACCCAGATGGTTACTAATTCCTTTTCTTTCTGGCGGTCATTTTTGACCGGGAACACTATGGGTGTTACAAAGTTGACTAAATCATCCAAAATTCAATGAAAGTGGTGATCAGCAATTGTATATGTTCAAATGTCTACTGTGAAGGATATCATAAAGCCTTAATGCAATCAAATGTAAAACAAAAAAGTTAGGATTGATGAAAGTAGTAAATCGGTCAGATTTGACCTGAAGACAACAGGAGGGTTAAAGCAAAAAATTACCAACTGGAGGGACTTATATTTATAATACATTATAATGCATCAAAACTGATTACATTTCAAAAAGGTTATAATGGTATTATATTTCACTATGAATGTTACAAAAACAAAGATTATGTGAGTATTATTGAAGTATGAAGTGATGAGGTATTATAAAATGCTATAAAATGTGTTCAAATCAATCAATCAAATCAAATCAAATCAAATCAGGTTTTATTTATAAAGCACATTTAAAAGCGATTTTTGGTCGAGCCAAAGCCAAGTATTATTATTATAAAGCACAATAAATAGTGAAAGTATGTTTATAATGCATCATAGAGATGGACTTATAGAAAGTTCAACCAACATTTCTCCCTGAAATATAGTGAGGTTTAAAGTGTAAAGAAAAAGAAGGGGGAAAGTTAAGTGCAAGACAAGTACATCAAATTGTACAGTATTAGAAGATGTACTCTGCACAAATCAAATACATTTTACCCAAGGACACAGTGCAGTTCATAAAAAAAAAGCAAAACATGACAAAAACACAAGAAAGGGAAACTTTGCTTGAGTTTCCACAAAGAATGACAAACTTTCAGATAATAAACTGGATCAGGAAAAATGTGTTCATCTTGTTTCAGAATTGTAAAAGCAGTAACACTCACTGCAGCACTGAAGGGAGATTTGAAAGTGTTGAACGCCCCACCACGCAGTCAAGGTTCAACATGAGAGTGACAACAAAGCTCCTCCCATCACAAGGAATTATATTTAGACCTCACTGACATGTAAGACTAACCTGCATCCTCACTGGCCTGCTGAGCTGCCACTCCATCCAACAGGAACACCTCTTAGTCAGGGTGTTTTATAGTTGATCTCCAAGTGGGAATCTTCTCATCTACTCGCACGCGGACCAGGCTGTGGTGGCTTGGTCAGAGAGGGAGGGCAGCAGGCGGGATCACACAGCCTCCAGAGAAAATAAAAGTTTATCTTAGCACTCCAGTTCCCTCAGTGGCTCAGGAGAACATGGCCTCTCTGTGAACCAAAGAGGCTCAGTCACCAACTGACTCTGGATCGGCAGGAGATGGTTACCAGGTATGTTTTTCTTAATCAATATATCCAAAATACATATTTTGAATGTCTAAATGAATCATCAAAAACATACTAGAGTTCTAAAATTAGTTTGGCAGTCTAGATATCTAATTTGGGATTTATTTCCAGGCTCAGTATTTAACATACTTAGTAATTACTCTGTGAAAAGTGTTAATCCTTCAAGTGATCCTGTAAATCCTACCACAATAGGTTCAAGCAGGTGTTCAGATTCACACTTTGTCAACCGCTGATGACTAGAGGACACATACGATTATATTTAAAGAACATTTCTTCTAAGTTGTAAACCAATAGGCCCTGCTATATAAACTAGAAACCTAATTCTGGAGTCGGGGAGCACTGCCGGGTACTGTGTCACAAGATCATAAGAGTCTCCCCAGCCTGCTGCAGGGCAATCTCTCACACACAGTCAGCTGTGTCCCGGACTACACTAGATAGGACACAAACTCTGGGAGGACAAACAGTGAATTCATAATAAATCTGTGTTTCATTTTAGTATGTCTCCTCTGAAGAAAGTACATTAGCCTTTGGTTGTGGGGGGACAATCGCAGACAAATACCATATTTATAATTGTAAGCCTATAAGGGATGCCATACAGTATATGCCAGTCAATAGCACAGCAAGTAATCTGTTTTGACTTATTGTAACTAATGGATTTCATGTGATTATGTGTGAAGTGTCATTTCAATTATTAATAACATACATCAGACAATTCCTACATTTGAATAGTGTTATACAGGTATTGTGCATGCATTAAAAGCATCAGCTATGATGTCCAAAGGAGTATGTCTAATTGACACGCTCACTGAACGATCATCCGACCCTACGTGGGGGTGTGCTGTCGGAGGTGTCATGTCCCTTCTGCTTGGGGCCCCCAGAGTGTCTTGGGGCGCCACTGCATAGGGCTGTAGACAGTCAACAAGGCAGATATCAACCCGCAATTAACAGCAAATAATCATAGCATCCCTGACCAAATATCTAGATATTTCCTCTCAGGACTTAGTAGGGACCACAAACAAAGCAGACAGCAATGCATTCAAACCAGACAGAACTCTACACAACTCCAAAGTAGGTGTAGAGTAAATGGCCAAATGTGCTAACAAGTTCACCATATCAACTTAAAAGGGTTGTCTCCACAACTTTGATAGGCCAACAAATCAGTTATCACTGGTCAAAATGTCACTAAGTAGTGTATTTGTGAAAGGTCCAAGAAGTTGGAAAGATACAAGAGAAAATAGAAAAATATTTTCACAACCAAGGTTTCGGAGCCAAGCCCTGTCAAAGAAAGGGCCTGTGACTTTAGGACATGCTGTAGGAAGTCTGTTTAAAATTATAAGCCAGAGACTGAAAAATTACAGTGTTTATTTCATCCAAGTGAAAGTAAAAAATGTCCCTCTCCTTTCAGGCGAATCTCCTGGTTTTGTGGATAAATCTGAGTCTCTATTTGTGAGCCAAAATGGGGGACTGGAACTCGTTGGGGAAGCTGCTGGAGAGCGCCCAGGAACACTCCACTGTTGTGGGCAAAGTCTGGCTCACAGTGCTGTTCATCTTCCGGATCCTGGTGCTGGGGGCCGCCGCTGAGAAGGTGTGGGGCGACGAGCAGTCCGGCTTCACGTGTGACACCAAGCAGCCCGGTTGTCAGAACGTCTGCTATGACAAGACCTTCCCTATTTCTCACATCCGCTTCTGGTCGATGCAGATCATCTTTGTCTCAACGCCAACTCTCATTTATCTCGGCCACATCCTTCACCTGGTCCGCATGGAGGAAAAGGAGAAACAGAAAGAGAAGGACCATGCCATGCAGGGTGAAAAGCAAACCCAGGAGTTACTTGTCACTAAAGCCAAGAAGGCCTCAATTAAAGACAACCAGGGCCATGTTCGCTTGAAAGGCGCACTCTTGCGTACCTACGTCTTCAACATTATTTTCAAGACCTTGTTCGAAGTGTTCTTTATTGTAGCTCAGTACTTCCTGTATGGTTTCGAGCTCAAGGCAATGTACACCTGCGACCGCTGGCCTTGCCCTAATATGGTGAACTGCTACATCTCCCGACCCACTGAGAAGACGATCTTCATCATCTTCATGCTGGCCGTGGCCTCCGTCTCCCTGCTGCTCAACCTGGTGGAAATTTACCATCTAGGTTTAAAAAAGTGCCAGCAGGGCCTCCGTTACAGACGATCACATGCTCTTAGTGAGGCTTCCAAGACCCGAACTGAAGCCATACCCTGTGTCCCAGAATATAGCTACTTTTCTGGGCATCATGCAGTGCCTGGACCTTTCCATACGGAGCAAACTTCAGCCTTCAGCCCCTACAGCAGCAAAGTGGTCTTCAAGCAGAACAGAGACAATATGGCGGTGGAGAGACAAGGTCAAGAAGAGGAAGATGATATGGAGGAGAATAAACTCGCCAACCAGGCCTTATTAGAGATGCAAAATCAGCATAGAACTAGTTGTCAGTCGAGCAGGCAGAGCAGTCACAGGAGCCGGATGGACGGCCTGAATATCTAGAGACTTTATATGATTTTCATCGGAGACTCAGGAACAACATGCATTTGCCTGTGAATATTTGCCTGTGAATATTTGCATGTGTATGGAAGACTATTCGAGACAAAACTATTAGGTGACTGCATAACAGAAAATAGCCGTGATCAACTTTCAAGTAAAGATCTGACTGTAAGAGGCCTTTACAAACAAGCTTTGAATGGCCATAAATGGCTCCGACTGTATGGTCACATTTCTCAGGGTTAAATATGGCGAGACATAAAAAATGTTGCTCTTTTTTCACTAAGAGTTAGATTGTCTTTGTTTGTCTTGAAAGACTGTCCCATGTCAACAATTCTGCTCATGCATTTTCTGAAATGTCAACTTAAGGTTCAAAATAGTTTTCACTTTACTCTACATTTTTTAATTGATGAACTTCCATATTTGTGGGTGATTAAGTATACAATGTACTTCTTAAAACTGTGAAAAAAAGCATGCAAGAGATGTCCTATCAAAAGCAAAAAGATGTTGTTAGTCAAAAATTGACCTCTTCCTTATACTTATTGTGACTTTGTAATTTGATTAAACTGGTGTGATTCAAAAGACTGTTCTGTTCTTACTCATGTTTAAATCGGATAGAGGATTTGTTGTGTGGAAAGGTCAAACTTTAACATTTCTTCCTCACCTGTCATAAAACTGGTCACAGATTTACTCTAGTGATATTTTGTTCTACTCACATGCAGCTTTTACACACCATAACCAGTGCTGGAGGCCAGTTGGGGATAGAGTGATGTCATAAAAACAGCCGTAAATGTTTTAAGAAATGATTTGTTTGTCCACAGCTCAGAAACATGAACTTCAGTGTCTTGGGGGGAAGACAAAGCATTTTATTTATTAATTATGTATTGATGTCATATTTGCCCCAAGACCACAGGCAGTCAACTTAGGAAAAACACCAAACCTATTATATGATGACTGATGTTTCAATGTATCAGCATTAAATGATCAAATTTCCCTTCCTACGTTTCTAAATAGCATAATTGTTAGCCCCCTCGCCGCAAAGACAGTTGATCGCTTTCAGTTTAGCGCCTTAAGTACTACATTTAGAGGCTTATTCAGACTTCAGGGAAAAAGCAATACATATTTTCAAGTACATTTTGTTATAATGAATTAATTGACGCAAATGAGTGTATGATGTTATTTGGCTACGTAAATTGTAAAACTGTTGGCAACACTGCACATTTAGTTTTCCACAGTTCAGTGGTTCCATCGCCCGCCTTCTTTACTGGGGGTGTAAAGATCTTAGATCGATACATTTTGGTCAATAGAGATTGCTACCAACCGCTTCTACGGAATAGAAAAGTAGCAACCTTTTCCTGTTTGATTGTGACCATGGGCGGTTCTAAAAAAGTATTTTCCAAAGACCCACTTTATTGAAAAATAAAGTGTTTAGAGATTAGGTACTATATGTTTTTTCAACAGATTTTGTCACATTGATGATTTAAATAAATTCAGACGCCCACCATTAATTTGTTTTGGTTTTGGTTATAAATCATATGCTTATGATTTAGCTACATCAGCACATTTATTTCTCACAGGGTATTTTTTTAGTCTGTTATAACTCAAGGGAGGGATAATGTAAGAATGTCCTGAGCCGCTGCTCTGGATCACTATCTGGGCCGATCTGGACATATTTAGATCTCTACCGGCTCAAATAAAGCACACCAGACCTTCCTTTACTCAGCTGTGTTAGTATTGTACTCTACTGTCTTTGTCAGCTACCAGATAACTCTCCGTAGATGTTTTATTTTTCCTGAATCTAGCTAACTTTTGCTGATTTCTCCAATGTTACTCACCCAAAGTTTAAGTAAATAAACTCGGACCTAGTATTGGCAGATAACAAATATTACAGTGACTCCACTTTGGATCATAAACAGAGGAAACTAATCATTAGCTCATACCTAGAATAAGGTTCTCTATGGTGTTTCACAAATATGTCTAGTAAGGCTGAACATTCCCAATTTGTACTCTGATTGCTCAACTGCTTTCATGTCTGTTCAAAAGCTATACTCTCACCTGATTGGCTAGGAGTTGTCAACCGTAATCTTTGGCAGCCAATCAACAAAAAATCTTGTATTGAATGGATCCGTTTGTTTTTCAACTGCAGAAAAGATGACGTTGTGATCATTCAGCTCAAACAATATGAAAATGCAGTGACGTGATGTAATAAATAGAGGTTTTTGTAATTGTGCAATCACTGCTATGATTTGATTTGCCCATTGTTTCAATTGTTCCCTGCTATTTTCTTCCTGAAGCCGTCATATTAACTGCTTGATTTCCAGCAGCTGCAGCGGACATGTACAGACTGCGGTGTGGATGGAGCCATTTACAAAACACATACCATCGTACACTGGTGAGGGCTCTGCTTCAAAGCCTCCACACTGCTGCTATTAATAACTCTCATGCCCACTTTCAGGAGCATTGTGGGTTAATGGGTTCAGGAGACATCCATTAACCCACATTTCTTCTCCACTCGTCTGCAACAATAACAAATTGTTGCCAACAATTTAGCCCAAAAATAGGTAGAGGAGCTTGGTTTGCATGGAGCAGACAATCATCTTTGATTAACTACTTTCATCCATTCAGCCACATACTTGAAATACATGTTGACTATGTGTGTGATGAAGCATTGCTTTTTATTTGAACTTTTTTGTCTTTTACAACTATTTTAGAGTTACAAGTTATTATTATATAGGTTTAACCAAGGCCAGTGGCATATATGATTTATTGTCATTCCTGATTCCAAATTGATAAAATAGATGGGGCTTGTGAATAAATATTAATAATGTTTGCAATGCTTCTTTTATCGGCTTCCAGGCCATTGTTTACTTGAGAGTGCATTGTGCATTTTTATTTAGTGTAAACTTTTAAATAACATAAAATAACTAAGAGACGCTACAGTATATTCAACCAAACCAAATGGCTAAACACAATGTAAAAAACAAGGCTGTCTATATTAGCTTCCATCAATGTTATGAGGACTCCAACTTACAAACTTGCAGAGCAGTCTGCTCTCCTGACAGGACAAGGCTGAAAACTGAACAGGTGACGGGGGTGAAGGTTGTGAACTATGGGTAACAACCATATGCAACCAAATCTGTGAGCCAGAATAGTACGAGTGATACGCAGAGACCATCCGTCACCGAGTCACACTCGTAAATCAAAATGACAGGATGCAAGCTTTAGGACGAGTTAATGATGGCACATTTTACTGTTAATGACGAATAATTGTGGGCGTATATTGACTGTAAAGTCTGGCTATTAAGAGGCTATTTTTGTAATGCTGTATCACCAGTGAGTGGAAAGACTGAAATTATCCATCATAAAGCTGATAACATCTACATTAAAAATAATAAAGAATAAATGTGCATCTCGCTTCTCAAGGAATGAAACTTCATTTTCTCTTCCTACATGGAAAAATTGTATTGGTTGTTTGGAAACAATATTCTAATACTTGTTTTACCCTACTCCAACAAAAAGTGATGTGATAGGCCAGGAATTTCATATCTGTGAATTGTAGGTTTAATTTGGGGACTGTAAAGCTGTCTTCTTCAATGCATTATAACATAAAAATGATAACCTAATGGCAGGATTTTCTTTCATATGGTCATGGTTACTGTAGGCTGTGCCACGGGCTGGGCACCACATGAGGTGTGACCTTTCAGGGTTATGAGAGCCTAGAGTCTAGACCATAGACTGTATATGTAAGGCCCAGACAGGGACCTCAGTAGGCACTGTAGATATATATTGTTTGGTGGTGGGGGCTGTCAGCTGTTGTGAGGAAGCTTTAAGTTATAACTTACAGACCTGTTGCTGAAGGCTCTCACAATAAACATATATAGCTTCATATTATCAATTGACAATGTGAAAGGTGACGCTTGTAGTGATGTTTCCTATTTTTTGTTGTTGTGACATTTTAGAAAGTATGTTTATGGGTACCTGTCTACCCATAACAGAGGGGAAACAGGTACAAAAGAGAACACAGTGCTCAGGACTCGCACCACAACACAGAACAAAATGTAAGTATGTTCACCTTATTATTGCCCTCGCAGTACGGGATGGGCGCACTGCTTGTTAAAGTCAAAGCCATGCTGAACCAGGACCTGGACTGCCTGAGGCTCTATGATGTTCTCCTCTGAACACAGCAGGGGGAGGTTATAAACCTGGACCAGGTACGTGGCTGCAGCATGGGAAAACAGACAAAGAATAATAAAATCAGACATATCAAAAAAGTCTGCAGAGGCAAGTTATTTTATCCAAAATGCACAAGATATTGTACATGTCCTGCAGATGATGCTGTGAAAGACAAATGTTAAGGGTACAAATCTTCTATGTGTGAGAACCATCTTAAGGCATATCCCTACCAGTATCTCAGGCTCATCAGAAATATATAATAATCCTTTGATATAATAAAGTGTATAAACAAAAGTTTATGTACAGCAGTTTGACGTTTCTGTACCTTGTCGTTCAGTTTCTTGTAACAAATCACACAGAGAGGATGGAACGAGAGCCTGAAACGTGGGAAGTTTCAGGCCGATCCGACAATGTCTATAGAAGTTCTATCCAGGGGCGTTGCCTGGACCTGAAAACATTCGGGGCTTAGCCCACAGTGGCGGCGGCACTACAGTGGCATTTTTTACTGCAACACTCCCCACACGCACACACACAATACACCCGCGACTGTTACAATGAAGGCTCGATAATCAGCTCACGGCATATAGGCAGGGGTAAAGTGGCCTCCTCTAGGGGGGTCTGGGGGCATGCTCCCCCGGGGAAGATTTTTTTTTAAATATTGAAGTTAAATGCATCAATCTGGTGCACTTTGAGAGCAACATGAAGAGATCTATGGATACATCTCTCAACACCCATATGAAGCAGAACTGTAAACAGATGTACTTTTTCTTTATGGATATTTTACTAATCACTCCCCTTTTAAAACTCTATTCTTGTTTTACTGCCATATAGTA